GCAGGAATTCTGGAAGAAAAGGAAAGTGAAAAAAGGAAGGTAAGACTATTTCTATGATGATAAAAATCGGACACATTTTTAACCCAAGAATTAACCTGAGAATTTCAGTTCTCAGCTTAGGTTAAGCAAACAAACCTCTCTAATACATATTATACAAATATACCTCGTTAAAAGTCTAAGAAAACACACATGACATTATCTATTTAAAAAAAATAAGTCAGGGCAACTCACATCTTTGCTATTACAAGCATATATTTTAGTCTTAAAAAGGACAACTAAGTTATTTGGATGACAGAGAGTGCAGAAAGAAACATAAATTAGTGGTAAAACACATTAAAATGATAAACAAGGTAAATGCTGACTTTTTACTTCATCTTTTGTGAATAAGAGAGCATCCTTTGCAACTTGATAGAGGTAATTTTATCTAAAACAGTAATTTTCAAAAGGTTATGGCTTAGAATGACATCCTGTCAGAGTTACAAACGGACCTCATAAATCATCTAATCCAACATGTAATGGTGTTCCAAATAGTCTCAACATAAAAGCATAGTAGGTAATCCCCATTTGATTAAGATTAGCTAAGTATTTTGATCTAACCTTCCATAAAAACAGCATTCAAATATTAGTATCAGAGACAAAACGTTAGGCTGAATGGATGAAACACTTGGCTCAGAATGAAGTCTCTTAAGCTCTTTGGTTCACACAGTACAAAACCTGAGATGAAAGTTAATTTTTACTTCTTGCACCACAATTTAATAGTATCCCATATTTAAATCTTAAATGGTAAGGACCAACTCCTCAGAACAGAACAGAATAAATTTGCCAAATAGATTTAAATGAGTATCTCTTTCACTGAATTTGTCCATTTTGAAAGAGTAATGGTCACTTTTATAACTTCTCTACATTTAATTTTCCTCCAAGAAAATACCTATTAAATTATACAAGAATCAAATGCCTAAATTTTCCTTAGATGTGATGTACTTCACATGCAACAAACAAATTATTCTTTAAAAAAGTGAGGGATAAAGAAAGGGTACGAATTCAAAGACAGTTGAACACAGAAATGATTTCAACTCAGAAATAACCATACACGTAAGACTGGACCACTATTTCACAACCATTTATGTGTGGCTTTATGGTGTACACAAATGGGGCGGGGGGGCATTTACCTTCTTAATATGTAGGCAACATAACAAAATGAACCCCCTATAGCAAATACTTTTAAGAAAACTTTTCAAGGTTTTCTATGTTTTTTTCTGAAATTCAAAAAAAATTTTAAGGTAAGTTAATTATAATAATTATGAATATCTAGAAACTCAGGACATAGCAAGGTTGTCTAGACTAACTTGGTAGTAGAGGAGGGCTGTTTTAGAATTTTAAAAGTACATCAAAACAAAAGTAGTCCCATTAATCCATTAAAAATTTATTTTAATGATGTCTGAAATTCTTATTTACATTCAGTATATCTGAACCTATGTAATTTAGCTTATTATTCTAAAACTTACCTTTATATTCTGCACCCAATCTCAACATTAAACGCATAGGAAAAACCTTTGCCCAGGGAATCTCTAGCTTCTGGATAAGAATTCCACAAAGAAAAGGATTACTTGGTAACAGGAGATCATCAAGTTTCTGAAAAGTAGGTGTAATAAATAGAAATCCTCCATGATCCTTGCTGCTGAGAAAACTCTCAGTAAAGGTAATACAGTCCAAGTTTTCTATGTATTTTCCTAGAAATAAAATCATTTATAAAAAGATTTTAAGTTGTTTTGAAGCAGCATTATGAGTTTGAATGTCCCAGTATAAACTTTCTTAAATAAAAGCAATGTAAAATATTTTTTATTTATTTCCACTGTTGAAGAAGCACTGAATACCTTGCGTGCACAAAGTTCAGTTATTCCAGAAGACTGGGAATTGTGAACAAAAATTTGAGAATGTTTATCACCGTTAAGTGTTTTAAAATTTTTCTCCTTACTTCATGGTCAAGTGAAAAGTCATCATCATGTCCCCCAAATCTTATACAGACAGAAAGTATACAGTGGTCCCCCCCCTTATCCACAGTTTTGCTTTCCATGGTTTTAGTTACCCCTGGTCAACTGTAGTTCAAAAATATTAAATGGAAAATTCAATAAACAGCAAATTTTAAATATTTCGCTACCCAGCTCTGCCCCATTGGGATGTGAGCCACACCGTGACTCACTTGTCCAGCATATCCACGCTGTATATGCTACCATCCATTAGTCATTCAGTTATGATGGACTGCTGCAGTATCACTGTGCTTGTGTTCATGTAACCCTTATTTCTCTTAATAATGGCCCCAAGGTGCAAGGGAAGTGTTGTTGGCAATTCGGATGTTCTCGTACTGTGCCTAATTTATAAATTAAGCTTTATCACAGGTATATGTACAGAAAAAACAGTGTACATAGGGTTCAGTACCATTCGTGGTTTCAGGCAGCTAGTGGGGTCTTGGAACTTATCCCCCGCAGATAAGGGGGGATTATTGTGTAGACACAAAAACGGACCAAGAAGGTAAATATATTTTCACTTTTAAAATTAAAAAAACTATAAAGACACTAATTACATAAAATGCTAAATTTAAGGAGACTGAAAATGATGACAGAGCTCTTTTAAGTAATCAGCAATCTCTTCACAAAATAAATCTTTAGTACAGTTAGCATAGCCAAAAGCAAAAATGCCCTTAATTTATCCATCCCCTGGTCTGAACAGTTCAAAATAAAATGGTATACCTTTCAGAGCGTCCTTATAAATGGTGATAAAGAGTCTGAAGATGTCCTTAGGAATAGTATCTTCACTTGGCAAACATAACAATAGAATAATAATTTCTGCCTGTCCCAAGCCGTGCAATCCATTGGTTGAGAAGTACCAATATTTGTCTGAGGAATCTTAAGTGACAAAAGTGTACAACTATAAATGTCAACTTCTATTAACCAAAAAAATTAAATATAATCGTCCTTTGCATGAAGCACAACTTTTTAAACTCCTTAGTTCCCCAACATTCTCCCCATAAAAACTTTAAATTGAATTGTATGAGACTAATATAAAAAAGAGAAAGGATTAAAAATTATCTGATGGAGTCAACTAATAAACAACAGTAGGGCTTCCCCGGTGGCTCAGTGGTTGAGAGTCCGCCTGCCGATGCAGGGGACACAGGTTCGTGCCCCGGTCCGGGAAGATCCCACATGCCGCGGAGCGGCTGGGCCCCTGAGCCATGGCCACTGAGCCTGCGCGTCTGGAGCCTGTGCTCCGCAACGGGAGAGGCCACAACAGTGAGAGGCCCGCATACCGCAAAAAATAAAAATAAAAATAAAAATAAAAATAAAATAAAAGATGCACTAACAAGCTGAAATGTAGTGGGTAAGAATCAGGTTAGTTTCAAAGAGAATGAGAAGCTAAGAGATGCATTATTGAGTATTGAGGACTATTTATTACTGAGAAATATTTACTTCCTTACTTTTAATTAAGTCTAGTGTCATTTACTTTAAAACTGTCTTTATTGTTACTAAATCAGGATTTTTGCTTATCTCAAGTAGCAAATTTCAATTTACCTAAAAGCTATATGAAATATGGTCAGCTGGGGAGATTGGGATTGACATATATATACTAATATGTATAAAATGGATAAGAACCTGCTGTATAAAAAAATTAATTAAATAAAATTCCAAAATTAAAAAAAAAATATATATATGGTCAGCTGTATCATGAGCATCAAAATACAGCTTGTTATAAGCCCATGGCCTTAACCTAGGACTGAATGAAGGACACTAGTAAAAATCTTTAACCTATTACTTCAAGTCCCACAGCATATAAAACTGCAAAATTTATTTATATTAATATTTGGCTACAAAAACCAATATCCAATACTGCTTATTTTTCACCATTGCCAGTCTAAATTTAACCAGACAATGTAATTAATTATTCAGAAATCCTGCTTACCAATTAGGCAAAGAAAGATGAATCATTACTTACAAAATGCTAACTTGACATTCACAAGTAGATTAGCATTTAGGACAAATGTAACAGGACAAAAACCTTCGCCTTCAAGAAGCAAAATGATCTGCTCGTGAGATGGGTGTTCTTCTATTACAGGCACTAAAACATGAAAATAATATATTAATTAGAATAAACATGTCTTCCTGTTAAATATGCCTATAATGAAAAAACAGATTTATAAATCCACCAATGGCTTAATCACATTTAAAAGCAAAAGCAAACACATTTTATAAAATCAATCAACACCTGGGCAACTGTTATATACTAATTTTTACTTTTCAATTTATGTAAAGATATTAATATTATAATACATATAAATCCTGATCAATTATATTATATATAGTCTATGCACAAATATGTTGATTAAACAGCATATTGATACAATTTTAGCACCTTTAAAGTTTTAAAACAAATGTTTTTGTAAAGTGGACTCCTATCTACCAGCCACTCCAATTATAAATTCTGAAATTTACAGCTGTGAAAGTAGTCTAGACCCAAGTTGTACATGCTTGTACATATGGCTTGCTGCCATATGCCTTATGTCAGTGACAAGTGGTGAAAAAAGAACTTGACAACCAACAGGAAAATATACATGGCATGCAAAGAACAGGGCTTAAGGTATTTTTGCCACTATCAATAGGATCATGAAATGGCTCCTACTTTCAGAAGAGATCCTAGGCTTCATTCCCCTACATTATCATGCACAGAACATAATCATTTCATGTAAGATTCAGCATAATGCCTGGGGTAACAAGGATATATCCCTAGGGAACTACTCCAAGGTAGGAGATAGCCACAGAATCTCCAGATTAGAAAGGACCTTAAAGACCACCTAAGTTCTCTTCTTTTACAAAGGAAACTGAGGCCCAAGAGATTAAATTGCCTGCTTCAAGTCATACGTGTATTAAGTAGCAGATGAGGAACTAAAATTCCTCCAATCCTATATTCTTTTCTTTAGGCACTATGTTCCTTTAAAAAAAATGATGTGGAGTCAAAACTAATACAGGACTAAAATGAGTTTCCCTGTTGTATTGGACTTTTGCCTTATTTTAAATTAGGGACCCAGATGAGATAAGTGAATCACATTCAAAGCAACTCAAAAGGTCAGATCTTTTTAGAATTTGTTTTTATTTTTTTTTTTTTTTTTTTTTTGCGGTACACGGGCCTCTCACTGTTGTGGCCTCTCCCGTTGCGGAGCTCAGGCTTCGGATGCTCAGGCTCAGCGGCCACGGCTCATGGGCCTAGAATTTGTTTTTATACAGTAAGACTTTTTGTAAACTAGAGTTCCATGCCATCATACATATTTCAACCACACAGTCTAAATTTAAAAAAAATACATTTTATATATCACAGACAAAATTCATCAATATATTCTTCTTTAAAAAAAACCACCTCCTTTTTAAATTTAAATAACTGCTATCCTACCTGATCCCTTTTCTCCAGATGCAACTAGAAGAGGAGGCAAGCTGTCCTCATCATCAGGTAGAAGACTAATCTTATTGCAAACATTCTTGTCAATACCACACAATAACCTATAACCTGAAATACTAGCAACAGGTAAATTACTGTTAACCAAGACACCAGTAGGACTTGATAGGTCCTCAATTTCTGCAAAAACATCATCATCTAGTGTAAAAGAGCCAGAAGTAGGCAACCCCTCAGTTCCTGTGTTTGTAGGCAGTTTTTCCACAGATGGAACCTGAGAAATAGGACTTCGAATTATCTCATTTCTTCTATCGCCTGTCTCACTATTTGGTTTTTCCACTGTAGTAGAATGGGCATGATCCACTGTGTTTATCATCTGTAAAATATGGAAAACAAAAACCCAAATCAGTTCATAGTTTCTTTCTTCAGAAGCCAAATTTCCCAAGAAATAGTACCATTTTGGTTCTTTAAATTCAAGAGCATAGGTTTAGCTTTACTCTATGCTCAGATAGGTATTCATGACTAATTTTACAGACTGGAAAAAGGAGGCAAGGAGAACTTCAGGATCCTATACCATACCACAAAGTGAGCACACTTAGTTCAACTCAAGGCACTCCTCCTAATAGACAAAAAAGCCTGGCTGCAGGGTGGCAAGGGAGAGGAAAAAGGGAGAAGGCAGGGAGGGGAGTGGTTAGGAAGCAAAACGGTAGACATACTCCACAACAGTAACCACCTAGAATAAACTACACCTCAAGTCGGCTTCAAGTAAGCCCCTTTCTTTTTGGACAGGCCGAACCTAAGTCAATAGAGAATTGTTTATGAACTCAAGTAATACTAGCCTCTATAGAAATTCCATTTTGTTAAAATATTGATTGAGGGTAGGTGCTAGCTAAGAAACATACTTCTGGTAATTAGAGCTACCTGTAAAACCTAGCTCATGAACTCTTACTGACAAACAACATAAGTTTCTATGATACGTGAACTTGAAGAGAGTAGGATACATATCCTTCTTGTCTGATGTATGTTTACCCAAGATAAACCAGGTAACTGGCTCAGAGGAGATGCTCAATATATATTTGTTTAATGAATAAAAAAGCATTCCTACTTCATGTGTTAATACTTGCTTTTATGAGTATTTTGCTACTTTACAATGAGAGTTATTAGTGGGCTGGGATTCTATATTATGTATCTTCTATTTAACACCTAGCACATTTGTATAAACATAAACATAAATACTACCATCAGGTACTTTACTGAATATTTGAAAATCATTAAACAAATTAGTCTAAATTAACTTACTAAATCTCAGTTCTATTTCCCCATACCAGTGGTTCTCAAAATGTGGTCCAGGGATCTCTGGGGTCCCCAAGACCCTTTCAGGAAGTCAGTGAGGTCCTAGGATTTTCTTCATATAATTTAACTAAAACATATCACAACAGACTGACTTTAGAAGTAGATGTGAGAATCTATCTTCTATTAAGCCAGACGTTAAAGAAATTCACAAAAAATGTAAAACAATGTTATTCCTCTCACTAAACTTTTGTTTCAAAAACTTTTCATTAAAAATATTATTTCTAGGGCTTCCCTGGTGGCGCAGTGCTTGAGGGTCCGCCTGCCGATGCAGGAGACGCGGGTTCGTGCCCCGTTTCGGGAAGATCCCACATGCCGCGGAGCGGCTGGGCCCGTGAGCCATGGCCACTGAGCCTGCGCGTCCGGAGCCTGTGCTCCGCAAATGGGAGAGGCCACAACAGTGAGAGGCCCGCATAACGCAAGAAAAAAAAAAAAGGTAAAAAGGGTTCTGCCTCTGACCATGGGTCATCTGTCTATTAACTGATCCATCAGTTGCACCAGTGTCATAAATAATGGTTAAGTTCTATAATTTACAGTTAAAAAAACATTGCCGGGCTTCCCTGGTGGCGCAGTGGTTGAGAGTCCGCCTGCCGATGCAGGGGACACGGGTTAGTGTCCCGGTCCGGGAGGATCCCACATGCCACGGAGGGGCTGGGCCCATGGGCCATGGCCGCTGGGCCTGCGCGAACGGAGCCTGTGCTCCGCAATGGGAGAGGCCCGTGTACCACACACACAAAAAAAAGCCCTATAAGCAGAAGAAAGATTGCTGGAAATGTAACTACATGGGAAAAATATAAGCAATTTATTGTAAGTCAATTATACCTCAAGCTGGTGGAAAAAAACACAAAGAAGAAAAAAAAAAAAAAAAAAAAAAAAAAATATTATTTCTATTAATTTAATGAGCTTATTTTTTAATTAATTTTTAAAATGTCTGTCAATTTTATATCAGTAATTATCAATAAACATAACCCACATAACCTATAGTTCTTTGGGGTTCTCAATAACTTTTCAGAGCATAAAGGGTCCTTAGATCAAAAAGTTTAAGAATCACTGCCTTAAACTGATGTGAAAAAAAGGTAAAATCTAAAATATATTCATAAATCATATGTTTCTCATTTTATGAAGCTCAAAGCATTTTTTTTAAAAAGTACTCTAAAAAATCACACAAGGAATTACTTACAAAATAAAATTTTATTAAATTAACAAGTCATTCTCTAGATTCCTTACCAGTGGCACATCAGGTAAGAGAGGACTAAAGTCTTCAGAACATCTTTTACTTCCAGATGATAATTTTGTTGTATCTGCAACTTCGCCATTGGGCAATATACCATCTGCAAACCATACTCTCTTCTGTTCTTTGGAGCATAATCCTAGAATCAGTTTAAAAAGTAAAGCATTTTAATTTAATAATATTGCAATGATTTAATACTAAAAGGGTCAGGAAACATTTTCAAAAGCTTTTTGCTAACCATTGGCAAGCCCTGCATTCTCAGGGTTTCAAGGCCTAGAGAAATGGCCTTTTGTGATTCATCTACCCAGAGTAGAAGTTTTTTTCTAATTCATACAAAGGCAGGGCTGGCCCTAGGAATCCCGTACTCAGAAAAAGAGTGGACAGGAGAGGTTATACCTTAAAGACATTGAAGGCAGATTTAAAGCCTATATTATTAAGGCTAACTTTGTGAGTGTGGAATAAAATTTAGGGACTAAGGCACAGGGAGGGAAAATGGAACAGACCAGAGCATGGTAGACAAGCAAAGGGAAAAAAGTATGAAGAACAGAAGAAAGAAGCATAAAAAGTCTAAAGAAAGAAACAGAATCACTTGTGCATCAGAGGTCATTTCCTACCTTTAACTTACTTAACAAGAGAAGCATAACATGCTTTGTTCTTATGTTGATATTGAAATTTATTAATATTTTCCTTTCAAATTTGGAGGAAATAACTAGATGTCAGCATAAATATTTGTTCTCTTTTATTAAAAAGCATCCACGGAGGAAGGTTATGAAAATTCCTGCCAGATGATTTTAGAACATATAAACATCAAAAGGACCAATATCTACCTTCCATATCATAATACAGATAACACTGAAAAAATTGGAATCATATATGTATAATTTTTGCAACATGGGTGGACATATTAAATAAGGTATCTTTCTTGTATTTGCAATACTTTATAATTTAATGATTTAAAAAGTCAATATAAGAGAATAAATATTTTTAAAAGCAGATTCATTCATCTTTAGAGCTATAATATACAACCATATATGCTGAAACTCATTATTTAAGTCATAATGATAAACGGAAAATAGCTATTAAGTGAGAAATAAGTGAAATCCAAAATAGTTGACAGAAATACTTGAATTTGACTGACAATTACAGTTATTTTCTAGCATGTTACAGACTAATAGTTTATTTCTAAGAGTGTACACAGGCTTACTGAATAGCAGAGGGAACTATCCTCAATATTTTGTAATAACCTATAAGGGAAAAGAATCTGAAAAAGAAAAGAAATATATATGTATATGTATAACTGAATCACTGAGCTGTACACCTGAAACTAACACAACATTGTAAATCAACTATACTTCAATTTTAAAAATTAAAAAAAAAAAAAAAAAAGTCTACACAGGCTTTACTCAAGATCCTAAACTACAATAGGCTGTAAAAAAACAGAGAGCCCAAAGATTTTTTAAATCTTTAGAAGTTTGTTAAAAGATTTAAGAAACATTTTTTATTGTGGTAAAATATACATTTAAAAATAGATTTTTAAGGAAAGGGAGACATGCCAGTTATTTACCTATTGTCTCTCAAACCCAAGCCCACCCTTCCACATGGTGCTCTTTGATGCCAGGCTAGAAGTCTGGAAAGTGCAACCCCCAGACCCCCTTGCTAGTTGGTTCTGGTCACGTCCCAGCAATGACAGGCTCTGGTTGGAGACTGGAAGGTGGGAAGAGAAGGAATTCTTTCTGTTTCTAGTTCCTGCCAGGACTTACGCAGCAGCGGCACCACCAGATATACCCACATGTCCTGTGATCTTCAGTACTCCTTACATCAAGCCTGGGACACTCCTTCTGTTATCTGAACACCAACCCTGTTAGGCTCCTTGATGGTCCCAGCATTTGCCACTTGGTGTTCCTCTAGAAGTCACAGTACCAGTCATGTGACGTGGCACGCTAATCCCTGAGTACTAGGTCTGAGAACCAAGCATCTCTTGGTGTTCCTGCACGGGGTTCTAGTAATACTGCCTCTCCCTTTGCATTCTCCCAACCCTAGGGATGGTGGTTGCTTCCTGTACTTACTAATATCTGAGTCACTTGAGCATGCCCTTTTTGTTCTTCTACCCTTCTAACGTGCATGTATAACCAGTTTCCTGTATTAAATTCCTTCTGGTAGCTAGTCTGGTTTCTCTTTTCTCACTAGATCCTGTCAATACTAGAAAATTTCTACTTTGATCATTTATCTTTAATATTAGACACAACATTTTCTTCAAGTTACCTTCAACACTTGGTTGTTTAAGTGCTGAGATTGGTAAAGTTGTAGGTGAAGATATACTGGATGTTTGAGTCTCCTGAAGAGGTTGGATGGTGGCACATTCATCAGAATGATTAGATTTAAGATTAGAACCAGTTGGACTCATCATCCTTTCAAATGCCTGAGCTATAAAGGGAAAAAAAACTTGATCTCAGGTGTTTTTGACCTTCAAAGTAAATCATGATAAATATTCTATTTTTCAAATTGTAAGGAGAAAGAAATTAATGGCTAACTAAGAAGTGGCACTTGGCAAAGATAATATCCTTACTTTTAGTTGGCAGCACTCCACTTCAGTATAAGCTACCAATTAGTTATTTCTATATAATTTTGGCATATATTTGATATCTACTAAAGAAAACCATTGTTATTTAATATGACCATCTGATTTTGCCCTTGTACTCCTATAGTCTATTTCCAATATAGTTCCTAGTGATTCTTTTAAGACATAAATCATATCACATCATTCTTCTGTTTAAAATCCTTTAATGGCTTCCCAAGTAGAATGAAAATTTAAGTTGTTACAATGGCCCACAAGACTCTACATAGTCTGTGCTCTCCCAGTTAGCTGTCTGACATCATTTCTCACTAAAATCCTACTTGCTCATTAGAATCCAGCCATTGAGGCCTCCTTGTTCTTCAACAAGCGAAGCAAGCACTGTTCTAGCTTCGGGTCTTTGCTCTTACTATTCTTTCTGCCTGGAAAGTTCTTCCACATGGCTTTATTCTCTCACTTCCTTCAGGTCTCTGCTTACGCATCATACTATCATAAACCCTTATTCTGACCACCATTTAAAATTTCTACCTCTTGCCACCAGTCTGTTACTATCTATCCCTCTTATACTCTTTTATTTTCATTTAGAATATTATCACCATCTGATATTCCCTTTGCTTTCTGTCCACGTCTCCTCACATTCATAAGGTCCATGAGATCAAAAGCTCCATAAGAACAGGGAATATATTTTGTTCTCAGCTGGAGCTCCAAAGCACAGAACACCGCTTGAATACTGCTGAATGATTTTTTTTCATCCAAATAACACGGAACAGCACTGGTACCTCTCCCTTCAGCACTTCTCCAAACTGATCTGCTATAAATGCTGCCACTACTACAATAACTTTCCTCAAGTGCCAATGAATTAGCACCCTCATGCAATGGCTTCCGCTAACCAAGTAAAATCCAAACACAGTACTTTGAGTTTCAAAGTAATTTCCAACTTCCTCTAAGTTTATGCAATGGCACTCACATGCATGCTTCTTTAAAACTTACACAGTCTCAGCACAACTTCCTCATTATCCACAATCTCTAATGAAACGATCTTTTCTTCTTTGTGGAATTTGTCTTATAACCCTTGAGCCATCTTTCTCCTCTTATCAGTAACATTATTCTAAATGATCATGTCTACTGTTTTCAACCCTAAAGTTGGAGTTAAGATAACTTTCATTTACGTTCTCCTGTGGTGTATAAATTAATGATAAACAGAGCCATAAACGAAATTACATGCTATAAGATATCGAAACCGAATAAATAAAACAGATAACTAACTAAATAAATCCATTCCAAATATTTTCTTTGATAAACCAATGCTTGCTCTCACTATGCTACTAAGTCTCTCCAGTGACTAAGTCTCCTCCTCTCCTGGATCCTTATGGTCAATATGTTTCAGTGTTCACCTAAAAATCTGACCCGTCAACTCAAATAATGTTTCAAATCTTCATGGCTGTTTTATTTTTTAAATGGGGAGAGATAATTATGTGGGAGCTAGCTCTAAGGTTTCCTAACTCTAGCAGGTTGCTTGGCTAACAGCACCAGCAGTAGTCTTAAAGGCTACTCAAACAGCATAGGCAAAAAACAAAACAACTACAGGCACTTAAATTCTTCATAAACACTCGTGGTAACATGGAAATACAAGAAGATTTACACTCTATTATCTTCCAGAGCAGAGGTCAACAGCAGGGAGTAAAGCAGCTTACCTCAGGCTAACAGACTCACATCAGAGCTTTTTGAAGAATTGCTGAAAAAATTTATCTTCATTCAAAAGAGAAAAACAAATTATTATCAGGTATTTATTCTCCTGGATAACAGGAAGCAGCACCTGGGCTAGCGCACAGGCCTGGTCTTAAAAGTCCCAAGTAATATTTGCTGGGAATTAAACTGTCAACAAATCTTTGAAAATGCCAAGAAGTACTCAAAAGAACAAATGTGTATTTGAAGAAACACACACACACACACACACACACACACACACACAAAACTGTGAGAACTCAAGTAAGATTATTGCTGATAACAGTAAGCTAGCTAGGGAGCCAGAGAAACAATGGGAAACACAAACAAAATTCTAAAACTGAGAAGGGAAAAAATATATAAAAGACAAAAATGTGCAAATAGTGTGACAGTCCTATGAATTTATATAAAAACTATAAATATTATACTTTATCTTTTATTCCCACTTTAGGTTGTAATTTTCTATAAGGTGGGAACTATTATCTTGCCTTATGCTATTAATATGTAAGACTGTATACTATTTATGGGTAGATATTCTATAAATGTTTAGATTAAGATGATGAGGATGACAATGATGGTGACAAAAACAAATAGGCAGATGAAATGCAGCATTTAGGGGACTTGGTACCTGTTAAAAGTTAATGAACTGCCACTCCAGAAACTGAACGCTTCCTTTCCACACTGGTAGTAATAATTGTGAGAGTAGAACAAAAAGAAGAGAAACCAAGCCTTGGGATGTCCCACCTAAGCCAGATAAGTCAACACTAGGTCCCTGCCTTAAGAAAATAAAGAAGTTTATCTTTGTCACAATCCAGTTGTTTTTAAGATATATTCAATTACTGGAAAAAGATATGTCAGGGTAATACTCACCTTTACTAATAGTCTCATAGCAGACTACACATACTCTTGCTTCCTTTTCTAGATACTGCAATTTACACTTCCTATTACAACAGACACCGCAAAATACCTATAAAGGACAAAATATCAAATTTGATTTTGTTTCAAGCATGTTTATACCAGAGGGAGGCAGGGGGAGGAGAGACCCGAACTCTAACCAAAAACCATTTTTCTGATTACATAAACAAGTTTTCTAATCACCATAATCATAGGTAATTATTAAATGATTCTTTTTATTTTTATTATTTTACTTAAATGAGGTTTCTGTAATTTAAAATTGTATCTCTGATGAGAATTCCTTTAAATCAATTATGTTAATTGGAAGGGAACAAAAACTTTCTTAATGAATAAGTTCATAACTTAACAAGCTTTCTGTGGTCCTTTACAACTTTTTTTTTTTAACTTTTTGGCCTTGCTACGCTGCATGCGGGATCTTATTCGTTCCCTGACCAGGGATGGAACCTGTGCCCCCTGCAGTGGAAGCACAAAGTCTTAACCACTGGACCACCAGGGAAGTCCCCCTCCTTTACAACGTTTAAAAGGAGAATGTTATTCAAAAAAGAAACAGACTCACAGATATAGAGAACAAACTAGTGGTTACCATCGGGAGGAGGAAAGTGGGGAAGGGCAAGATAGGGGTAGAGGATTAAAAGGTACAAACTACTAAATATAAAATAAATAAGCTACAAGGATATATTGTACAGCACAGGGAATATAGCCAGTATTTTATAAGAACTACAAATGGAGTATAATCTTTAAAAAGTGTGAATCACTATGTTCGATACCTGAAACTTTCATAATATTGTAAATCAACTATACTCAGTTAAAAAAAAAAGAAAAACAAGTAGAATGTTATTTTTCTAAAAGAGAGTAGGGTTGATCTGAGACTAACTTATTACTGGAAAATGCTGAAAAAAACGCAATATTATTTCTAGAGGCAACTCTTGAGTCCACAGACTATTAAGATAGTCAGAACACAAATGAGGTCACAGCTTCAGTGTTCTGAACCTTGTGCAAGCCAATCTGCTTTTTTTCTCAGTGTTTACCTCAAGTATCGAGCATAACACTAGCTGCAGAGTAGTCTTGAAATTAAGTATTCAAGGATAAACTGGAAGCTGACTGAATTCCATGCATCTGACGTGTTCATGTTAGAGAGAGAATGAAACGTATTCTTAGATTTCACAAAAATTAGTGTTCCTCATTTCCCAGTATGTAATACCCATGACAATGTGACATTTATTCAAACCTCAATCTGTAAATGACAGTGCTTTATACACTTCCACGTAGGTGAAAAACGATTTTAAACTAACTGAATCTTGTAATCATCTCTTTATCAGCTTTTTTGTCCCATTAAATTTCATTTAAAATGTCTCAAAAGAATAAAAGACAAAGATTTTTATAGCTTACTTTTCCACATGCTCGGCAGTGATGTCGCCGTTTTGTAAAAGTAAATTTGAGTTGGCAGTTCATACAATTTGGAGCTTCTGAATCAGGAACCCAAGTAGGTTGTTTCCGGCCCAAAACAAGGCCTTCTTTGCAAGTGTTTGCAGGCAGAGATTCTTCATTTGCATTTACAAAACTGGATCCACCTTCAAAATTACTTTCTATATCAATGTAATTAGAATTGAAGCTAACCTGAGGATCAGTCACAGAATCTGTAGCACAGGTGGTTGGAACAATGGTATTTGCTATTCTGGGTTCACTTTCAGGCATATTTGGAACATCCAGCTTATTTGGTTCCTTTGAACTCCTTGTTCTTGATGGAACACTAAACAGTTGCTTAGGTCTGGCGCCTCCAACGTGAACAGATTGACTGTTACTATCAGAGACTGATAATTCATTTGTAATCTCAGACTTACTGCTAGATAACACTTGTTCAACTGGAATTGTACTTTTCTCCCCTAAAGAAAGGCTACCATTTTCTGTTGTATTCTGTTTATCAACCGTTTCGCAAATCATATTAATACCAGGACTTTCCCCAGTAGCTTCTGCTTCAGCATTGCAATATATATTATCGACATTTCCATCATCTGGGCCTTTCACCTCTATCTGATTCATCTGAGATTTTGAGTCATTTACCTTTTCTTCAAATGGTTTTATGTTACTAGGCTGAAGATACTGTTCAGTTAGAAAGGCATCAAGTTCAGCATCACTAACTGGTGCACCACTTTTCATGCCTTCATCAATATTAAAGTAATCCAAATCTTGTCCACTGATATCATTGCTTGAAAAAGTGAAACCTTCACAACAATCAGGAGATTCTGGGGCATTAGCACCAGAAAGCTCTATTTGAGATTCTGCAGCTGTAGAAAAACTGGTGTTATCAGGGTAATCCAAAGACTCAACTCTAACTACCATCTGGTTAGAATCTGCCTTTCTATCTCCCATCTTTTCAATTAATGGCTGATGAGGTACGTTTTTACATTTTTCCTGTTTCAAAAGATCAGTCTCCTTCAAAGGTTCCCCACCTGAAGTCATATTCTTCTGTATTTCTTCATGCACAGTCACTGCATCTTTTATATTATCTTTATATTCATTCTGGGGTAAACAATCACCATGAGCTTTATTTTCAATTAATGATCCACACAAAGACCCAGGTACTGGAAGACAGGACAACGAGGAATATGTATTTTCACTTGAAACATGTAAAGTTGAAGCAGAATCTTGGATTTCATCTTTATTATCTTTAAGATCTAAATTTCTTGAGTCTTCTTTTGCAGATTGTTTTATAAATATAGCAGTCCTACCTTCCTGAAAGGAAAAGTCAGGTAACTTGAAATTTTCATCTCTTAAATTTGAATCATTTAAGCATGAACCTCCATTTTTTGGAAGACTGCAAGACAAAGCACTTGTGCTGCCTCCTTCTTTTAAACATTCTGGGGCAGCTATGACTGGCACATCTACCTCCTCTTTTACCAAACAGCCATCAGCTTTTACTAATTCACATGGCTGGTTCTTGTACTGTACGTGGTCTTTGGCATCAAACATTTTGGAACTTTGTTGAGTCAAAGCAGATGGCATGTTAAAATCAACAACTGGTTCTAACTGATTAGAGATCTTTTTATCCTCTAAATTTTCTTTTCCACTGTAATTACACGAATCTGAAAGTGTCGTATCTACTTTTATACCAAATTCTTTAGTTCCACTGATTTCTCTGTTTTGTAATTCAGAACTGACATCATTCTGTTCCTCTCTGACTCTATTATTACCATGGTCTGTTGAAGAAATACAGAAAGTTTCTGACACTGAAGATAAATCCAATCCGATCAAGGAATCTGCACTAGACTTAAAATCATCTGGCAATAATTTTTTAATATCTTCTTCACTATTAGTTACGTGAACTAAGTTACCCATGTCACTTATCAGATCACAGACAGGTTTACTACATCGTCCCATATATAGAGGCTGGATTTCATCTGAAGTGCCACCATCCACAGAAGAAAGGAGATCAAGTCCTGTTACATTTTTTTCATTTTGTATAGAAGTTAGTCCCTCAAGTGTTTTTTCATTCAGGGCAATTTGATTTGTTTCATAGCCTGTTTCTGATGAGGCACAACAATTAATGCATTGTTGATCCTTTGGTAGCAGTGAAGTTAGCTGTGAGGAAGCCAACTCTGAAGAGACTGAATAGCGGTTACAATCATATGAATTTTGTGCATCTTGGAGATAATCTTGTTCATCTAATTAAAATAGAAATATAATGTTAGTCAGGAGACCCAAATCAAAATTATTACAAAGACGTTATGGTTTCTATGACTTCTAAACTTTTTTTTAGACCAGAAATATATCACTCTCCTGCAAAATAGTAATAACCTCCAAAATTATTTTCACTTGGATTTAAACTACTTGGGGTTTTTACTTTTTAATGTAGATGTCATAATATGATAGAAATTCTACTCAAAATAACTCAGTTGCACTATAAAAACCAGACGAAGGAAGAGCTGAAAAACAATCTAACTTCTTTGTTCTGCCCTCCAGTTTCCTAGTCTTCATCCTAAGATGAGGAAAATACTATCTTTCATAGTAATATAGAACTTTCAGGTTGCTTTCAGCTGGTTCGTATGTTGTTTTTAAAGGTCTTTCTTTTACCTAAACGTGTATCTGAAGAGAAACTTCTACCTTTCTTACTTCTATTTCTGGCTATTGGTTCTATTCAGTATAAGAATACACTAATTCATTATAATAAGTGAATGTTTTACAGAAGATAACCATGTGACCAAAATTGAAACCAAGTTTTGCTAAGAGTACTAATTACGGACATTTTAAAATTACATTAATGGTAAAAATGAAAAACTGACAAACCTGGATTCTGTTCAAAATCATCGAGGAGTTTATCCAAGTCACTGACTGCTGCTTTAAAATAACTGTCCATCCTACTTGTAGACTTACTCAGAGTTTAATTCTTGTGTGCCTAGAAAATACGAAGTATGATAGTTCATTTAATTCTCTGACATATAAATATTATGCCATGTACTGCATGCCAAGAAACACAGCCAGGGAATAGACACAAATAAAATTTAAGAGTATTGCTTTGAAGAATCTGTAATTTAGTTGGGGAGATTCCTCTATATATACAAAAATGACATGAAAACAAACTCTAACAACATAACATGCATACATAAACTATTTAAAATTTTAAACACTTATCTAAATAACTCATGGGTCAAAGAATGCATAGTTGAAAGCTATAAATAGTTGTAAGTACCATGTATCAAATAATATAAAATATACTACACACAAATAAAAATACTGCATGTAAAAACTTGCGAGATTCAGCAAAAGTGAATACTTAAAGACAGATACCTAGAGACTTAGATGCTTATACTAGAAAAAAAAGAATGAAAACAAATAAGCTAATAGCAGAAATTAAAGAAATAGAAAACAAGCATGTGAGAGAGGTACAAGAAAACTAAAAGTTAGTTTTATGGATAAAGTAGAAGAACCTCTGATCTGTGGCAGGAGCTCCATCAAATAAGCCTGAGACACCTTGAAGGAATCTATCAATGACTAATGGGACAATATAAAAAGGACACAGGAGCTAAGTATCACTGGCTTAAATGGGACAAATGAACCTCAAATAAATGAAGACTACAAAGGACTGACCACAACTCAAACGGATTGAAAAAAACAAACAAACCAAGAGATCATAATGATACTAAAAACAAAACCAAAAACCACCACTCATTAGAGAGTTGCTAGGGCAGTAACCCTTTACTCTGAAAATTGATATACTAAGAGAAAAGAACTAAGAATTTATCCTGCCCTTTATTTACAAAATGTACTTTAGGATAAGAAAACAGTTGCTGAGGAAGAATTCTTTAGATAAGAATTCCAGTTGATAAATGCAGAAGGATATTAAAAATTTTTAAATCATTTCTTCATAGTCCCTAAAACAATAAATGGACTACGCAATGGCTATCAATGGATGTTAAAACTGTTAGATGAAAGGTTGAGGGGAACTTTATAATGGTGGGATCAGGCCAACGCATCTAAATCCAGTGACCAATTTCACCATCAATTAATGTGGAAGACATAGAATCACATACAAAATATTCCTGCCCAAAAAAACCCACAAGAAAACAAAAAAAACCTGAATCCAAATCTAATCAAGTTTTTAGCACTAACTGCATATTTACAGGAAATTCAAGGATAGAGGGACAAGTTAAATGATATCAAAAGAAAGCAATTGGCTAAATCCAGAAGGGGGAACACTTTTCAGCAATGTACCTTAAACAGTTGACAGTGAATAACTTTTTTTTTTTAACTTCCAGTCTGTTATAAACTGTTACTTTTGTAAAACACAATAAAACAATACAAATTTTGCAATAATATACAAACAAAAAGATACAGATTATTAAACACATTTGAATGGTGCCCTGAGTAAGGAATAGGAGTGGGAAATGAAGGATAAAAGACAATAAACTACTGAAAGGGCTTTACTAGAGCCACTTATGATGGTCACCATGAACTGAGGACATATGAGGCTCAGAAAAAATGAGAGGTACTTTAAAGATGGGTTAAAAAAGATTATATAGAGCTTAAGAGAATTGAACAAACAGGAAGAAATCTGAAGAAATAACCTAAAATGTAGCCCAGAGAGATGAAGAAGAAGAAAATATGAAAAAAGAAGTTAAAAAACATGGATGACAGAATGAGAATGGAGCCCCGTAAGGAGAACAGAGCATGGAACAAGTATGCTTGAAAAGATAATGCCAGGAATTCCAGAACTGATGAAAAACACAACAGATATAGGTAACCCATTACCATTACCAAGCAATATAAATACAGTTGACCCTTGAACTACATGGCTTTGAACTGCACAGCTCACTTATCTGCAGATTTTTTTCAATAGTAAATACTGCAATACTCCACAGAGTTGGTTGAATCATGGAGGAACCATGGATACGGAGGAACCATGGATACAGAAGGCTGACTATAGGTTATATGTGAATTTTTGACTTGCAGAGAATCGGCACCCCAACCCTCACATGGTTCAATGGTCGACTGTAAAGAGAAGTCCACAGTTAGATACTCTACAGTGAAACTTTTGAACTCCAAGATAGAACAGCCGGAGAGAAAATGTCATCTTCAAAGAAACAATAATTATGCTAGCACAAGGTAAACTTCAGAACAATTCTCATTAACAATGGTATGCCATCCTATTCATTAAAGCATATTATTCTTTTATTTCCATTTTTAAATTTTCTTTATACCATACATATACAAAAGTACATGAAAACACATAGGCACCAAAACAAATAAAAGGAACTTGGAGGAAGAGACAATATAGGAAGAAGAAAACTTCAAAGAAACTAATATTCTCAGAAAAAAAAAGCAATGTGACTATGAAACAGCAACAGGAAGCCATACGTAAAGAATATGTGAAGAAAAAAGATCATGAAAATTGATAACACAAATCTTAAAATTCAAGTGAGGCTTACAGAATGTAGTAAAAGCAGTGCTTAAAGGGGCACTTATAGCATTAAGTGCATATATTAAAAAAGAAAGATCTGAGAATCCATAATCTAAGCTTCCACCTTGGGAAATTAGAAAAAGAACAACTTAAGCCCAAAGTAGGTAGAAGGAAAGGTAACAAAGATCAGAGCAGAAATCAATGAAATTAAAAACAGGAAAATAGAGAAACGGAGAAAACCACTGAAACCAAAAACTCTTTCTTTGAAAAAAGTAAAATTGATAAACTAGGCTAATTAAAAAAAAAGAGAGATACAAATAACCAATATCAGAAGTGAAAGAGGGGTCATAACTATTGATACCATGGACACTTAGAGGAAAATAAAGCAATATTATGAACAATTCTATGCCCCCAAACTTGATCATTTTGATGAAATGGACCAATTCCTTGAAAAACACAAACTACCAAAATTCACATAAGGAAAAACAGACAACCTGAACAGTCCTATATATATTAACGAAACTGAATCAATAATTAATAACCTTCCACAAAAAACTCATCAGGTCTAGATAGCTTCACTGGTGAATTTTACCAAATATTTAATGAAGAAATGATCCAAATCTTCCACAGTCTCCTCCAGAAAAAAACAAGCACAGGGAACACTTCCTAACTCATTCTATAAGACCAGCATTACTCTAATACCAAAACCAGATAAAGACATTACAAGAAAGAAAAACTACAGACCAATGTAACTTATGAACACAGAAGTAAAAACCCACAACAAAATATTAGCAAATTGAATCCAGCGATGTATAAACAAAATTATACACAACAACCAAGTGGGATTTATTCAGGTATGCAAGGCAGGTTCAACATTTGAAGATTAACCAATGTAATATACCACATCAACAGACTAAAGAAAAATTATCATATAATCATATGAACTGATGCAAAAGAAAAAGCATTTGACAAGACCCAATACTTACTCATGATAAAAGCTCTCAGCAAATTATGAGTAGAGGGGAACTTCTTCAGTTTGATGAAGAATATCCATAAAATACCTACAGCTACCATTACACAATATACTTAGTGATGAGAAACTAGATGCCCTACCCTCAAAGACTGGGATCAAGGAAAAGGATGTCTTCTCTCACCACTCCTATTGCGCATAGTATGGAAACCCTCACTAGTGTAATAAGGAAAGGAAATAAAAGGTACACTGTTTGGAAAGGAAGAAATAAAAATGTCTTTATTTGTGATGACATGACTTTCAATGTAGAAAATCTCCCCAAACTGACCCCCCCAATATGGAAAAGTGAGTGTAATAGCAAGGATGCAGGATACAAGGTTAATATACAAAAGTCAAATGCTTCCTATATGAGCAAGGATCAGTTGGAATTTGAAATTTTAAAAAACAGCTTTTACAATATACCTCAAAAATTAAATGCTTAGATATAAGTATAAAATGTATACAGGACCTATATGTGGAAAACTACAAAATGCTGACAAAATATCAAAGAAGATCTAAGTAAATGGAGATATAGTCCATGTTCATGGACAAGGACACAATACTGTTAAGATGTTAGTTCTTCCAACCTGATCTGTAGATTCAGTGCAATCCCAATCAAAATCCCAGTAAGCTATTTTGTAGATAGAACTCAGGAAACTGATTCTAAAGTGTATATGGAAACGCAAAGGACCTATAACAGTCAACACAATACAGGGATACCTTGAAGATATTGTAGATTTGGTTCCAGACCAGTGAATATCACAATAAAGTGAGTTGCACAAATTTCTTGGTTTCCCAGTGCACATAAAATTTATATGGTATTTGTCCAAATGATTTAAAGATTTACACTATACTGTAGTTTATTGTGTGCAATACTATTATGTATAAGAAAACCAATGTACACACCTCAATTAAAAAATTCTTTATGCTAAAAATGCTAACAGTCATCAAGGCCCTCAGCAAGTTATAGTAGTAACATCAAAGATCACTGATCCCAGGTCACCATAACAAATATAATAATAATGAAAAGTATGAAATACTGCAAGAATTACACCTTACATAAGAATGTATTTTAAATGGATAATAAAGGGGGAGTGGCTAAGACAGAGGAATAGGAAGACCTTGAGCTCACCTCCTCCCGTGGGCACACCAAAATTACTACTTAAAGAGCAACTATTGATGAGAATGAGCAGAAAAGATCTTCTACAACTTAATATAAAGAAGGAACCCCAACAAGATGGGTAGGAGAGGTGGAGACATGGTACAGTCAAGACACATACCCTTGGGTGGGTGATCCATAAGCAGCAGGATAATTACAACTGCAGAGGTTCTCCCCAAGGAACAAAGGGCCTGAGCTCCATGTCAGGTTCCCCAGCCTGGGGGTCCTACACCAGGAGAATGAGTCTCCTAAAACATTGGGCTTTGGGCTTACATTCAGGATAGCCAGAGGGCTGGGGGAAATAGA